TATCTGACTGACAGTTCCCCCTAAATAATATAAATTAAAAAAAAAAAAAAAAAAAAAAGTCCTTCTTTCTTCATTAAATTTCCCTATTATAGGTACAATCCAAGGGCAGGTCCTCGCCTTGGAGAAAGAACAGACCGATTTAATAACAGTGTATGAACCAAGACACCTGCCCTTAGTGGCTCTAAAGTAGCTGTTTGCTAACTCCGTGCTTTCCAGGAAGATCAAGCTATGTGAGTTTCTTCAGGTAATTATCTGGGGAACTCAGGTAGCTCAATCCCATAGCATGCTCCATTCTTTAAATAATAGAAACCGAGAATAATAATTTCTATTTCAGGGTGTATTTTAATGTTTGCTGCAATTTTAAAAAGTGCTAAACAGAATAAACCCAGCTCTCTGTGCTGTGGCTTAGGTGTAAAATTGTTTTCAGAGGGTGTAAGATGTCCCATGGGCATTCAGCAGAGAAGCAGCACTACAAATAGCCAGATAAAAACAAGCAGGTTACAAAGCCTTACTTCCCTTCGCTAGGATTACAAATGAACAAAATATCATGTGTGATTTCCTGTGGACAACTAAGAATGATTTGGGTTGTTGATGACTGGAATTGAGAGTAGAATGTTTTCTTTCACTCTTTTTCTTTTTTCCTTTTTTCTGTTTCTTTCAATATGGTCTGGGCAATACAGGGATTACATTTACTTATCCATTCAACAAATATCTGTTGAACACCTACTATGTGTTAGGTGCTGTTTTTAGATGACACAAAAAAGCAATGAACAAGCAAATAAAAATCTCCACTCTCTTGGAGTTTACATTTCAGGGAGGAGGCACAGACAATAAATAAAATATCAAATTTGGGGCCAATAGGTGGCACAATGGTTGGCATGCTGGACTCCCACATGGCTTTCTCTCTCTCTTGTCTCTCTCTGGTGAGAACACATGCACCCTATAGCACTTTTTAAAAAATAATAATACATAAAATTAAATAAATAATTTTAAGAAAATAAATAAAATAGAAAAGTGAAATAAACACTTTGTTTGATGATGAGAGGAGTTAAGAAACAAAGAGACCAAAGCAGGGAAGGTGGCTAGGGAGTACTCAGAGGGGATGGAAATTTAGATGGGGATCAGGGAAGACCTTGCTGAGATGGTCACACTTGAGTGGAGACTGGAAGACGAGAGGACAGACCCTGTGGCTACATGGACAAGAGCATTTCTGTTGTGGGAAATGAGTAGCAAATGCAGAGGGCCTGTGGCAGGAGCATGTCTGCTGGATTCAAACAACCACAAGAGGTGAACGTGGTTGGAGCCGAACGAACAGGGAGAGCAGAGATTGTGAAGTCCAAGGTGATGGCGGCTCAGTTGTGTTCAGCTATGTAAGACCGTTGGCGTTCACTCTGAGATGGGAGGTCATGAGAAGGGTTTGGTAGAGAAAGGACACAATTTGACCTGCTTTTACAGAGGCTTTCTTTGGCTGCTCTGTCACAGTCCTCTATGGAAGAGCTGATGATGACTGGTATTAGGAGGTGCAAGGTGGTGAGATTCTGGATACATTTTGAAGGTAGAGCTGGCAGGATATGCCATCAGATTGGGTGTAAGGTGTGAGAGGAAAAGAGAACCAAAGATGGCCCCACAAGGGCCAGATGGTAGCACAGCAACAATTCTACTGGACCCGTATGGGAAGGTCCCATGTTTTGGTCCCAAGGCCTCTTTGTACTCACTGGGTGTGTGTATGTGTTCCCATGATGTGGAACTGAGGCTGGGAGTGGATTGCAATCTGAAAACACTATTGGGAGCGTTCCCCTTTTCTCTCTTTATTTCTCTCTGTCTCTCTGTCTCTCTCTCATGGAAGAAATAAATACAAGAATAAAGTTTTAAAAAGTTTGGTGGACCAGCAGGTGGCATGGTGCTTAAGGTATTAGACTCCCACATGGCTACCACAGTTTGAGTCCTGGACCTGGTGGCTTGCTTTCTCACTTCCCTCTCACTGTCTCTGTCTCTCTGGTGAGTATATGTGCCCTATAGCAAAAAATTAAAAAAAAATAGAATAATTCTTTTAAAATATTTGGTGATAAAGGAAACCATTTAATTATTTTTGTTGAAAAAAAAAAAACAGATGACCCCCAAGATTTTAGTCTTAGCACTGCAAGAACAAAGATACCATTAAAAAAAAAACAGATGACTCTCCAAGATTTGAGTCTTAGCACTGCAAGAACAAAGATACCATTAAGAAGACAGAAAAGTCAATGAGAGAAGTGGGTTTGAGGTGAGGAAGATCAGGGGGTCAGTTTGGGACATGCTCAGTTGAGGCATTCATTCAACATCCAAATAAGAAGGCTATTTGAGATTGGAGTTCAGGAAAGAATCTGGACTAACAGATGACTCTCCAAGATTTGAGTCTTAGCACTGCAAGAACAAAGATACCATTAAGAAGACAGAAAAGTCAATGAGAGAAGTGGGTTTGAGGTGAGGAAGATCAGGGGGTCAGTTTGGGACATGCTCAGTTGAGGCATTCATTCAACATCCAAATAAGAAGGCTATTTGAGATTGGAGTTCAGGAAAGAATCTGGACTAGACACACCTTTGGGAATCAATACTCTAATATTACCCTCTTTACTCAGGGCACATTGAATCCAAGATGGAGGAGAAAAAAAGGAGAAAAATGGACGTGGACTAAAAAAGCACGAGAATTGTTTTAATTTGAGAGCTAGCTGGCTAATTTTCTCCTTATACTGAAGTTTAATATAAGGACACTTATTGGGGCCAGAAGATGACGTGGTAGTTAAGGTGCCGGACTCCCACATGGCCTTCCATGGTTTGAGTACCAGACCTGGCAGTTTGCTGTCACACGGGATGCATGTACATGCATGCCCAAAATCCTGAGGGCAGAAAGGAGGAGAAGAGATTGCACTGTGGTCATATACCCTGTGGGTGATTTCTCACTTTCTCTGTTTCTTCATCTCTCTCTATCTCTCTCCATGAGCACTTATTATTAACATTTATTAAGATCCTGGTTGGCATGGCCAACCAGAGCTCAAGTCCCAGAGCTGTCAGCTTGAAAGCACACTGGGCATGTGTGTGCACACTCTGGATTCTGAAGAAATGGAGACTTGGAGGAAAAAAGATTGCAGTGTGACCAGGCCCCCATCAGAGGGTGCTTTCTCCATCTCTCCCTCTCTCTTCTCCCCTCTTTGTACATGTGCCCTCCAACCATAGAAAAAAGGACACATAATCATCAATCAAGTTTTTGGAACAGTCTTTAATTCCTTTGAACTAGCGCTATAGGGAAATGGCCTCCCATCAGAGCCCTGCTATTCTGTGGAACAAGATCACCTTACCTCATGGGACAATGCCTGTGCGTGGGTTGTAGCAGGTACTAGTTTCTTTTCTTTAAATTCTTGAAGACAGTCATAAACCTGTAGAAGGGCCAGAGTGGGAAAATTGATATGGATAACACAACCCGGAATGTAATGGATTTAAAGATCCCACAGGAAAGAAACAGCCTGGGAACTGCACGAACAGCTACACAGCATGATGTGTGTTGGTTTTTTATATGTCTCTAGTTGGTGAAAAGAAATAAACTAAAGTTTGGCGGCTCCTATGCTTCAAAGACTTGCCACCACTTGAAAATGGACTGATCTTGTCCAGATGGCGTAATGTTTACGTCGCTGGACTCCCACATGGTCCACCATGGTTCGAGTCCTGGAACCAGTGGCTTCAAACTTACCCTGGGCGCATGTGTGGGCATGCCTAAAATTCTGAGAGGAGATTGGAGGAGAAGGGATTGAGGTGTGGCCATACTCCCTCAGAGGGTGATTTCTGGCTCTTTCTCTCCATCTGGCTCTCTGACTAGTGCACATGAAATATAACAAAAAAAAAAAAAAAAAAAAGACTGATCTTCCCAAGCAATTTTACTGATTAAAAAGGAACTCAATATGTTTTTACTTTTTCATTAGATGGAGTAAGGATAAGGTTTCTGGGACTGAGAAAAATAGGGATTTATAGATGATGCATAAAAGGGCATATCAAGAGAAGGGCTCTTTGAGGCGACACAAACCTGTGAGTACCTCTGACAACTCTGCAGGACCTGAGCTGTGAGGCTTGGGGGTGTTCTGAGGGTTCTGAATAAGAGGCCGGCAAGCTGTCTGTGCATATCTGTACTCTGATCTAGTCTTTGGGGCTGTTTGTTTTCCATTTCTTCCTTAATTCCACTGGGCAAGTTCATTTATAGAAAGTCTACCTTCATCTCTGCTGACCTAAGGAATTCTTTTCCATACCAGGACCTAGGGCTAGGCTGAATACATCAAAGCCTGCCACGTTCCTCAGTACAACTCTTTTTTTTTTTTTGGAGAGATTTTCACTGTAGGGCGCGTGCGCTCGCCAGACAGACAGAGAGAGAGACATAGAGACACAAAGCGAGAAATCACCCCCCAGGGGGGATGGTCACGCCGCAATCCCTTCTCCTCCATTCTCCTCTCGGGATCTTGGGCACGCATGCACATGAGCCCGGCGTGAGTTTTAAGCCACCGGGTCCGGGACACGAACTGCGGTCAACTACGTGGGAGTCCAGCGACATAGCCATTACGCTAACTGCTGGTTCCCGCTCAGTACAATTCTTCAACTTATTTAGGAATCACCTTTGGGAGGTGATTAGGTAGAGCCTTCATGAATGGGATAAGTGCTTTGATTAAAAAAGGACTGAGGAGCCAGCTGGTGGCACAGTGGATCCACATGGCTGACTTTGCAGTTTGAGTCCCTGACCTGGTAACTTGGAGAACACACTGGGTGCATATGTGTGTGTGCTCAAATTCATGAAAGGAGAATGGAGGAGAAGGGGTGTGGCAACCCCTTATGGGGGGTAATTCCTCATTTTTCCTTTTTTTTTTTTTTTTCTTTCTCTCTACAGTGAGCACATGCCCACTGTCAAAACTAGGGAGGGGGGGGAATAAAGGACTGAGAATGACCCTTGCCTCTTCTACTATGTGAGGTCACAGTGCAAAGACAGCTTTTTACGAACCTTACTCTTCAACTTCTCAGCCTGCAGAGCCATGAGAATTGAATTTCTGTTGTCTGCAGGCTGTCCAGTTTGGGGCATTCTGTTGTGGCAGCCTGAACAGACTAACAGGTGGTGTTCCATTCCCCCCAGCAAGCAGAGCTGTCCAAGCAAAGGAGCACTCACCTTGAGCAGCGCCTGTAGCCACGGGGAGTGGAGGAGATCATATAGCAGACACACTCCATTCACGTCTCGGCTGTAGAAGAGGCTCAGCTCCTGCAGCACGAGCCTCAGGATTTGGGAGAGGCCTATGTGGAAAAGAGGGCAGAAACAGGGTGGCATGCAGGTTGGGCAGAAAGGCAGGTGTAAGAGTGAAGGCAACTCGGACAGCTGGGCAGGCCCTAGGGTCCCACGAGCAGTGGAAATGACACTAGAATGAAGGCCCTAAAAGATCTGGCTTCAAACCCTGTTTCCTCATTTGCTGTGTGAATTTTAAAAGGCATATCACTATTCGAAATCTAGTTCCCTTGTGGCAAAATGAAAATATGCTCAATTTTCCATAGGCTTGTTGGTAACATTAGATAAAATACCAGATCTAATACCAAGCTGTAAAGTATTATGAATAAGATGATTGCTTCTCCTCCTCCTTTTTACCAGGCTGTGGTTTGTCCTAAAATGATCTAGTTGTTTTCTAGATTCTGTAGCTCAATCATAGAGACATTTGGGTTTGCCCTTTCCAAAAAAAAATTTTTTTTGTCTTTTAGAGGCTTTTGCTTGAAAGGGCTAAACAGATTTTAGTGAATGCTTGATTTTTTTTAAACAATATTTTCATAAAAATCTTCTTGTTGCAACAATATTTTGCATATGAACAAGTCATGCAGTTCTGAATTTTACGTAAAACATTGTGGGGTCAGTTGGTGGCATGATGGTTAAAGTGGCTGAATCCCACATGGCCGATTGCACTGTTTCCCAGATCCGGAGTTAGAAAAACATGTCAGCCACGTGTACATGCGTGCCCAAAGTCGTAAGAGGAGGGGGAAAATAGAGAAGGGATTCCAGCGTGACCATCTGCCACTGCCAAGGATGGTTCTCACTTTCCTTCTCTCTCTGTCTCAAGTGAGTGTGTGTGGGTGGGTGTATAATCTCCAGTGTATTTTCCTTTAAAAAAAATAAAACATTGGTACCAGCAGTTGGCATAATGGCTATATCGCTGGACTCCCATGTAGTTGACTGTGGTTCGAGTCCCAGACCCAGTGGCTTTAACTTTTGCCGGGTGCATGGGCGTGCATGCCCAAGATCTCAAGAGGAGAATGGAGAAGGGATTGCAGCATGGCCATCTCTCCTGGGGGTGATTTCTCACTTTCTGTCTCTTTGTCTCTGTCTGTCTTTCTGGCAAGTGCATGCTCCCTATAGCAACAACCTCTCAAAAAAACAACAATTGTGAAGTAGGGAGAGAAAAATCTATCCATGTCATTTTTTTCCCCTTCCTGTCTTGAAAATTACTCTGAAAGTTATCACTAGTAGTTGTCGCCATGCAGTCAAACTGTACAAATTCCTTGAAGGAATTACACCAAATCTACTTATTGCCATAAGAAGTCACTTCCTTTCTGCCTAGAAGAGGAGCCCTGGAGTACGTACCGTTCTTGGGGTTGGCTGCAGTGGAAAGCTTGTCTTCCTGGTCTGGAAGATCTGCTTCTTTGTCTGACTGTATCATCCTCCCTGTCCAAGCCT